ATATAATAAGTCACAACAACAGAATACAGTAATAAGTCGCACCAACAGGATACATTTGATAAATCTGTCAACACTGCAGTTGTGAGTTCCAATTCTGTTCATGGCATTGCGTTGACTCCAATCTTAATTGACTAGGATTTTCAGATTTCCTACCAAAGGTCGATGGTTCTCTCCGGGCACTTCGGCTTTCAACACCAATTAAAACTGACCGCCAAGAAATAGCACAATAGTGTTGAAAGTGGCTTTAAACACCAATCGGTTGATTAATCACACCAACAGAATACAATCAATAATTCACACTAACAGAATACAATCAATAAGTCGCACCATCAGAATACAGTCATTAATTCACACCAACAGAATACAATCAGTAATTCACATCAACAGAATACAATCAATCAAGTTGCACCATCAGAATACAATCAATAAGTTGCACCATCAGAATACAATCAATAAGTCGCACCATCAGAATTCAGTCATTAATTCACACCAACAGAATACAATCAATAATTCACATCAACAGTTAATAGTTCATATTTGCAAAATTCAATATATAAGTCGCTCCAATAAAATACAGTCTATAAGCCACACCAACAGAATACAATCAATAATTCATGAATATAGTCAATAATTCCCACCAACCAACAATGCAGTTGATAAGTTTGACCAACAATATACAATCAATAGTTCATACTTGTAGAATTCAGTAAATTAGTTGCACTATCATAATACAATTAATAAGTGACACCAAAAGAATACAAACAACATGCTCACAAATTAAAAGAGAACATTCAATAGGTCAAACCTACAGAGACCTCCACAGTTGTCTTATGGTAGGTTGCTCGCCTTGAGAGGGAGGTCTTCGATTTTATCCCTTTCTGGTGGGCTTGAACCCACCCCTACTGAAAAGTGGTCATTGTCAGTCTATTTTTCGATTTTAATACGACCTTGAGAGGTGAACATTGACTAAACTGACTTTCTTTGTCATTCAATTATAACCTTGTAGTTACAGCAGTCATCCATACTGACTGAAAGTAAATGTGACTTTACAATCTTGCTGGGGAAATGTTATTGGCAAGCCAAGTATGTCTAAATGTATGTTTTTACCGATTCTGACAAAACAGTGACCTAGATTTTACAGACCAGATTTCTTTTGGCCATATTAAACCTCCTTGTGTTCCTGTACCACCTATGCATGTATTTATGATAATAGTTGATACCTACAGCCCATACCAGTAACGTAGTGGCCATTAAAAGACTCCCACCCCCACTTGGGGGCTAAGCAGTTGAGGAGTAAAAGCAAAGATTGTCAGCTCACAGTATGAAAATGTGTCCTGGTGAGATGACATCTCCCCCACCCCCCAAAAGGTGTCTGGGGAGTAGATATAGAGTCACTTTGAACGACTTACAACTGGCAGTAAAACTTTAGAGCTAAAGTGGGATGTCCATTAGTCTGTGGGATATACAAGTATGCAGCTAGGGACTGTCAGATTGGGGACATTGTATTAAATGCCTATGTACAGAGTGCCACTCTCTCTGCATGCACATTAAAAACCCTTACAACAACTCTTAAAGGAGTCCATAGGTGGCCTATTGTAAGGATGAATTTCTGTCCCTTACCACTAAACCCTATTTTCCTATTTTTCATCTTGGAAGGTCTCTATGACAGGACCTTCCTTTTGTATAGTTTTTTTGTCCTCATCCTGAACATGCATGAAATATTTGCCACTGGACATTAAGCAGCCAACAATCAATCAATCAATATTGGGACTTATCTTGTGAACTTATGAAATCCTGCTCAGTGTGTTGGTCTAGTACAAATCAGTGTTCATGTTAATTTTGCATTCGCATGTTCTTTTCCTGAATATGCATTTAATTTGGCTCTGGCAGTAAATCAGCTATCCACCCATCCATCAATCAGACCAACAGAATAAGTCAATTATTTTCACCTTCCAAGAGCATACAGTCAAGAAGTCACACTAACCAACATCATACAGTCAATTAGTCATAACTACAGAAAAAGTAAATCCAACCAACAAAAGTACAATCAATAAGTCACACCAATAAATTACAGCCAAGAAGTCACTAACTAACAGAACACAGTTGATTAGTCTGAACAGAACACAGTCAATTAGTCTGAGCAACAAAAGTCCTGAAGTCAATCCAACCAAATGGACATTAAGCAAACAACAATCTAACCAAAAAAATACAATCAATATTCATCAATATAATACTGCCAAGAAATCGTACCAATACAACAGATTTCAATTTAGTCACACCAATCAACAGAATGCAGTCAATAGTTCAGACGAACAGAAATTGTCAATAAGTTCCACCAACATGCTAAAATCAATGATAGAATATAGTTGACGATCACACCGACAATCAGAATACAGTAAACAAGTCCCCATAGAACTGTCAATAAGTCAAGCCAACCAACTGAATACTGTCAATTCACAATAGCTAACAGAATAAGGTCAATAGGTCAGTCATAACAGAATAAGTTCATTATTTACACCAAACTAATAAGAGTACAGTCCAGAAGTCCCACCCACGAACAAAATAATAAGTCTCGCAACAGAATACAAAAATCCACCAAAATATTAAAATCAGTAAGGCGTGTCAATAGAATACAGTTGATAAGTCACACCAACCTACAGAATACAGTCGAAAAGTCACACCAAGCAATAGAATAGTTAATTATTCATTAATAGGGTCAATAAGTCACACTGATATACAGTCAATAAATTTCATTAATCAATCACAGTTGATAAATCATATCAACAGGACACAGTCAATAAATAATTCATTCCAACTGAAAACAGTCAATAATTTGTATAATTGCTCGGATTATTTGGTAGTTGGTGCATTTTTGGTAATCCCTTTTTTCAATTTTATGTATAAACCAAAAATGTAGTTTATTCATACAAACCAATAGAATACAGTCAAAAAGTCGCACAAACAGAATAAAATAAGTAGGTCACATCCGCCAACAATATAGTTCATTCATACTAACATTTTACAGTCAAAAAGTCACACCAACAAAATACAATTAGTAGGTCACATCCACCAACACTAGTTAATTCATACCAACCAACAAAATACAGTCGATAAGTCATACCAACAGAATACAATCAATCAGTAATACCAATACATTACAGTCAAATCAGTTATACCAACAGAATACAGTGAATAAGTCCTGCCAACAGAGTGCAGCAAATAAGTCCCACCAACAGAATACAATTAGTAGGGCACATCCACTTACAACATAGTTAATTCATGCCAACAAACAGAAAATAGTCGGTATGTCATACCAACAGAGTACAGTTAATAAGTCATACCAACAGAATACAGTCAATAAGTCATACCAACAGAATATAGTCATACAATACAGTCAATTAGTCATACAAACACAATACAGTCACTTAGTCAAACCAACAGAATGCAGTCATTAAGTCATATCAACACAATACAGTCAATTTGTCATACAAACACAATACAGTCACTTAGTCATACCAACAGAATGCAGTCATTAAGTCATATCAACACAATACAGTCAATTCATCATACAAACACTATACAGTCACTTAGTCATACCAACAGAATGCAGTCATTAAGTCATATCAACACAATACAGTCAATTTGTCATACCAACAGAATATAGCCAAATAGTCATACAATACTGTCAACATTCACAGTGCAGCTTATTTTGCTGTATGAAATGATATGCATTTGTATCATTGCACACAGCAAAATTAAAAGACGTATCAGTACACACAGCAAAATACAAACCCAAACTAATGCACACCGCAAAATACAAACCCCTTTCTAATGCATACAAACAGAATGCAATCTGAAATTTAGGCACAGAGAATGAACAACATAAGTGATTAATAAGACTATACACTCAAATGGTTATTCATCCCCATAGATACTCTAACGGAATTCATGCACACAGAAACTAAACAGGAATTAATGCAAACAGAAACTCTTGCAGGAACTCATGCACTCAGAAACTAAACAGAAATGAATGCATACAGAAACTTTTGCAGTAATTCATGCACACAGAAACTAAACAGGAATGAATGCAAACAGAAACTCATGCAGGAATTCATGCACACAGAAACTAAACGGGAATTAATGCAAACAGAAACTAAAAAAAAAACTTGTGCAGGAATTTATGCACATAAAACTGAAAACAGTAATTCATGTATTCATGCACACAGTAACTTAAATAGTAATTCTTGCACACCAAAACTTAAATCTCATTCATGCACACAAAAAAATCAAACAGTATTTCATCCACACTAATAACGAGAACAACAAATGCACACAAAATTTATGAATACACAAGAACATTTTAAAGCAGAAAACTTGAATGCATACCGTGCTGTGCATACAACACAAGCAAAAATCTCTAAGCTATACACTTTTCCAAGGGGCCTCTGTGGCCGAGTGGTCTTAAGTAGTTACTACTGTAATCACTAGCCAGTCAACACTGAGGTGTGAGTTCGAACCCCGCTTGTGCAGGTGCACTGGACTCCAATCTTAATTGACAAGGATTGTCAGTTTTCCTATCAAAGGTCCGTGGTTTTCTCCAGGCACTCCGGCTTCCTCCACCAATAAAAACTGGCCGCCACAAAATAGCCCAAAATCAAATCAAATTACACTTTTTCAGCAAGAAATTCAAGAATAGAATATTTACCACATAACTTTATCTTTATGTTTGATGTATTCTTAAGTTGCAGCTTCATACAAAAGATCATGTAATGAGAGGTTATAAGAATAAGGCTTCAATTTGGAAGCCATGAACCATAGTATTTGTATAGAAATCCTCTGTTGCCACATGGATGTGGACAATTTATACAGAAACAAGTCTTTGAACTGTGGTATGTAATTATTTATAAGTTTTTTCTATTATAATTGTATTATATTTTATTAAGAAAATTAGCTTTACACCTTAATTTACAAATCAAGAGTTTCCTTAACTAGATCCTTAGATATACACAGAATGGTATTCTACACATGTTGGACAGGAATCGTAGAATCAAACCCAAGCCCGAGAGATTCCAGTCGTGTAAAGATAAGTTTGATGTGGTCATTACATGTGAAGAGAGAGTCTATGATCAGCTACTTGAAGGTAAGTATTATAAATATCACTCTTCACCCTTGCCCACAGACCCTCCAGTCCAGGCATGCAAAATACATTTGGGCCAAAAAAAAAATCTACTACCGGTCAATATAATCTATTCAAAATTATCTTAAAAAAAAGTGTGGGCCTGCAGCTGTAAAATATCATTTTGAAGATTGGAATATACTAGAAAATGTACTTTAAATAGATTTTAAAGAATACAACAGTCATTCTTTATTTTCTCTTAATTTCAGTTATTGTGATATTTGATTTTGTGGTTTTGCCAAAGTCTGCAAACATTCCTACGGAAAATTTGTAATTTGTGGATATTTGAATTCATGGTTCCCTGTACCCACGAAATACACAGAAATTGGTATCCAACTAAGGGCTATGCCATTAAAATGTATGTAGGAGGGTAGGAACTGACTTTCAAAATATCCCTACAACCAAGAACCATTTTTTAGATAATTTTCCATAATGGTAATAGACGCATACTGAAAAAAGACCCATGACCCACATTCAATAATTAAACTTCCCTTCCTACCCTCCCACACACATTTTAATGGAATAGCCCTAATAATACAGAATCCATAGTAAATAAATTTACCAGTATAGAAAATGTTCTCAATGATACAATTGACCAATGTTAGTCTTTATTAAAGAACTTTAATGGACTATATTATGGATCTATTCTATGCATTAAAAAATATTTACGTGAAACATGTATGAGTAAAAGATTGGCTCATAGTCAGAATATTTGTCCTGGTAATGGCATGTCCATCTGCAAACTAGTACTGTTACCATGTGACCAAGCACAAGAAGAATCTGACTCATGTCAATAAAGTACGAAACTGGGGATATTCATATACATTTATGATTATATGCATGTATTACTTGCATCTGTACATTAAGCATCTACCTATCCATCTAATATTATTTGATTGCAATTCTAATAATGTAATAGACATTTTTTTCATGTATTGGCAGATATGGAAAGTCGGGAGAAAGACGACATGAACCCTGTCCACATCATAAATATTGATATACAGGATAATCATGAAGAGGCTACCATTGGGGCATTTCTCATATGTGATCTGGTTTCCATGGTAAGTTAATGTGGAGGCTATAAAGTGATATTCAGGAGGATTTATTGTGGTATTTGTCTGTGTGTCTAATTGTTCTTATTAAAATGAAAAAAAGAATATTTAGGAAACTGGCTGTACAAGTGAGGATTAAATGTACAAGTTAAAAATACATGACCAAATGGGAGATAACTCAAAAGAGAATGAAAATAGAATATTTGCCAAACTGGCTGTGCAAGTGAAGAATACATGTACAAATAAAAATACATTACCATATGGGAGATAACTCTCAATAGAACACAAAAGAATACTTGCCAAACTGGCTGTCCAAATTAAGAATATATATGTACAAGTTAAAAAGAAATTACCAAATAGAATGAAAAAATAATATTTGCCCTGTTGGATGTACATACAAGTTAAGGATATATGAATTCATTGGAGGTAACTTCTACTTAGTGTGTTACATTAAAAAAAAAATTAACATACAGATTTAAATTAAAAAAACCGATGCTGTGTCCCCATTAAGCTTTCAGTGAGCTCCCATTACTATTTTCAAATAGTTATTGTTTTTTTATAGTGATTAATAATATTTAATATGGAAATGGGGAATGTGTCAAAGAGGCAACAACCCAACCAAAGAGCAGAAAAAGATTGTAACACAAGGTTGACTGCTATACCCAAATTTTTAAAATTTTTACCTATTATGTCTATTTTTTTTATTCACACATTGTTTTCAATATAATAAAATTCTATGTGACTGTTATACAAGTGAGAGGTTAAGCTAGCTATAAATCCAGGTTTAATCCATCATTTTCTACATGAGGAAATGCCTTTCAGTGATATTGTTTGCCTCAAATTACATCCGAAATTCGGCTTTTTCTCCCAGAGAAAATTCCCAATTACTAAAAAAGATGGCTTAAAATTCCTCCCAATAAGTTTTACTTTTTTCCCAAAAGTGATGGCAATGGTAGTAATAAATGTAAATTTCGTATTCATGTTATTGTTTTGTCTTTCCCCTCCCCAAAAAGTACCTTTCAGGTTGAAAATGTCTGACAATCAAAATATACGTGATAAAACTGTGCAAAAAAGACAGTCAAGTTGAGCAAAAATCGGAGTTGGGTTTAAAAAAAAAATAAACCAATTTCCCAATTTCAATAAAAATTATGCATTTTTCCCCAAAAAAAACGGTAGAGGTAGTTTTTTAAAAAGACAACAATATCACTGCCTGTACCAAGTCAGGAGTATGATAGTTGATTTCCATTCTTTTGATGTGTTCAAGGTTTGATTTTGCCATTTGATGAAGGACTTTTTGTCTTGAATTTTCGTTTGAGTTCAGTGTTTTTGTTATGTTACTTTTCTTTACAATTTCAGTTAAGTGAGTCAGACGATCTGGATAATGACATTGATGAAATACTGCAGGACTTTGAACCACGATGTCAAAGAACAATTTTGCATACAGTCAATTTCTACTGATAACTTGCTCTAAGTATACTACCATGTGCTTTCATCTATGTTGTATTTGTGAGCTTGTCAAATGTTTTCACAGACCGGAGAAGAAAACTGGAACAAAACTTTATCATGTTGTAGATGGTAGACATTTAGATTCTTGTTTTTTTTAACCGGATTTTCGAAGGAAATATCAGTTATTGATTTGGGGATGTATGGCGGGCGGGCGGGCGGATGGGCGACTGCCAAACAGTGTCTCTTCAATAACATGAAAACGCTGTGTTGATTTTTTTTCAAATTTAGATATGTTGTTTTTTGTGACTAAATGAAGGTCAAGTTCAAAATTCACGATTTTAGTATTTCTCCCTTTTGAGTTATCGCCATTTTTAATATCCAAAAGTGGTATTTTTAAATATTTTTTATATCAGCAATGTCTTGGACGAGTTCAAAAAACAGTGCCAATCGATTATTCTAAAAAGAGTTATGCCCCTTTGAAACATTGATTATATGGAAAATTGCATTGTAAGTGCTCTCGTATGTACAATTTTTGCCAGATTTTTATCAAATTCATATCAAAGGTATATAACAACAATGTCTCAGACAATTTCAAAAATAAGTGATGACCAAATTATTTAATCAATTATCAAAATTAATTATTGTCCTTGGACAGAACAGATAAAATATACGCAATGCAGGGGACATTGGAACTCTGTTCTTTTATTAATGTTATAAAGCTTCTATATCTCCACTTTATGTTTATATTATTGTTGCTGTTAGGAATCATTTCTGTATTTTTTCTTTTTTTTTTTTTTTGGTGAGGGGGGGGGGGGGGGAGAGGGGGATCTCTCCTTTCTCTTAAACTCATGTAAGCTATTGTCATCATTTGTATAGCTCATAAAGATATTACTTTTCTTTTTTAGAAAAGTTAATTGATTTGTTTTATTGTCAAATAATGTGCATTGTTTGGGGAGGTTTTTTTTTACATTTTGTATAAATTATTAGACAAGAAATAAAAGGAAAAAAAAACATTTGACTTAAAGATGACCGTGTTGGCCAGCAATTCTATTTGACCTGTAAGACTGTGCATTTGTCAAGGAAATGCACAAATTTACCTGTCTAATGTTATTGCTGCTTCTAACTTTGTAAAGGTGAATGTATAACTTTGTAATTTTTGTTATCTTTTGCTTTATTTTGAGGATTGTTTCTAACAGATAGTTCTATTCAAAAATTATGAAAATGATGAATATGAAACTTTTATTCTCAGCTTCGCTGAATATTTTAACCAATTTCATTGTTAGAGATCATGCAATCCTTACTTCAAAGCACAGGTGCTTGGTAGGACCAGGACAGTACTGAACATATATTGCAGTCTGTCTTATCTGAACCCCAATCATAGCAAAACTGGGTTGAATTATAAGCTAAACTTAAAGAGTTAGTATTACAAGTGTACATAGATCATGAATCATATTTATATAGGTATCATGAGCTCAGTAGTCAGTACTTCGATACTGACATGATTTATAACAAACCTATCTAAAATTGTCCATTAATAAATTTTGAAATTATTAGAAACTAAGGTTTCAACTCCCTCAGGCAAAGTCGACCTTAGATGGATTTGGCTATTTTTTAAGTCCTTTTTGTTAATATAGCTCTTTAACTGTTTCGGTTCTTATAAATCCTTGGCTTCAAATATTCGACTTTGAGCATTTCTGATGAAGGTAAATCCAGAAAAGTGCTTCTGACGCAAGAAATTTATAACGTGTTGTTTTCATTTTTTAGATAGCACACCGAAGTTGTTACCCAAATATTTTTTGTTGTTTTTTGTTTTTGTGTACAAAAAGATGAAATGATTAAACATTTTCAATGCTGTATTAAACAGTGATTTGGTATTCATATAAAATTCACAATTTTTTGTTTTTGAAATTGTTGATTAAAAAATAATTTTTCTTCCCTAACAGAAGATGAAGAATCCACCTTTTCTTTTATTTTTTTTAACTTTTTTAGATAAAAGTATGTTGTCTTTGCCAAGAAATTTACTTTTTGATATGTTCAAATTACTGGTGGAGTAGTGTATTAATTACAACCAGTAATTGTGATAAAATTTGCATTAAAAAATCGTGAAGTGTTTCATAGATTGATATATTGAGCATCAGACATGACATATTTATTTTTCTAGAATCTTTAGACTGGTCAAGAGTTTCAAATATTATTGTTTATAGCATGCAATGCAATGGCATATGCAGCTGATTTTGGAATTATTGCATTATCAATTCATATCTTATTTACAGCAGTCAAATGAATAATTTTTTTATGTAAGTAGTGAACAGTTGTTAAAATATTTGTACAGGAAAATTGTCTAAATATAAATCTGTACATAAAGGTAATAGGTATCTTATTTTTTGTCTGTACAGGAAAATTGTCTAATTTTTTTTGTCTGTATAGACAATTAGCCTGTATCTTATTATTTGTCTGTACAGGAAATTGTCCAAATATTTGTATGTACAGGAAATTGTACAAATATTTGTCTGTACAGGAAATTTTCAAAATATTTGTCTGTACAGGAAATTGTCAAAATATTTGTCTTTACAGGAAAATTGTCTATTTGTTTGTCTGTACAGAAAGGTGACAGGTATCTTATGATTTGTTAGTAATTTCATCTAAGTATTTTTATGTACAGAATCTTTGTCTAAATACTAAATACCATTTCTAAATATATGATAGTACATGTACTTTGTTGTATTTTTTTGGGGACAGAGACTCTGTCTAAATATTTTTCTCTGCTGTAATATTGATTACTTGAAGGATACATTTCCTTTATAGCAAGGAAATCTGTTGATTGTTGATTGTTATATTTTGTAAAAGTAGGTCTGATAAAGTCAATAAAATAATATAAAACATTAATTGGTATTGTTTAGTCTGTGCCAAAAGTATAATGATAAGAATATAAAAGAGGGTAACAAATAACCACAAGCTAAAGTCAGACATACAACTTTATTATAAAAAAAACCAAAATCAAATATACATTGTTGAAAAAAATGCAAAAACTATATTTGGTATATGGGACCCTGGCAAGGTATACATTGTCTGTTAGATAGGGTTCACTTGACCTCAAGCTCAATTCTTGGATCAGTGACCATGGTTAATTTTTTGATGGTCAAGGTCGTATATCAGAATGATATAAGCAATAGTTACTATATTTTGTGTATGGAATGATTGTAGGGGCACATGTCCCACTTGCAGGCTTTGTCTGACCTTAATCCATTTTCATGGTTTATTTGACAATGTAAAGGTTTTTCCGGTTTAGTCTATTTGTCATATACTATAAGCAATATGATCACTGTATTTGGTGCATGTAATGACTGTAAGGTGAACTTGTCTGTCTGACAAGTTTCATTTCACCTTAACCTCATTTTCATGGTTTATTGGTCAATGTTTCATGGTTTTATCCATCTATCAGATATGATAAGCAATAGGTCAACTACTAATATGTTTGATGTATGGAAGAATTGTAAGTTGTATTGTCTGGCAGGTTTCATCTGACCATGACTTCCTTTTGATGGTTCACTAGTAAATGTTACTTTTTCATGGTTATTTCTCGGATACTATAAGCAATAGGGCAATTATATATATTTGATGATAGACATAATTGCATGGTGTACATGTTGTCTATCAGGGTTTATCTGACCTTGACCTTGTGTTTAAGGTTCATTGGTCAATGTTCAATCTTTGTAATCAGATATGTTTGTCATCTGACATTGACCTCATTTACATGGATCATTGATAACTATAAGTGTATGTGACACCTTGTAGTAAAATAGACTTCTAACATGCAGTCAAGATAAGTAAAGTAGGCGAGACATTTCAGCGTGTGCAGTCTTATTTTAGTATTGTAACCTTTTGAAATAAAATTCTCTGAGACCGTTTTATAGAAAGCTCTCATACTTATATTTTGCTATCATAATTAGTTGACCATATTATGCTGTCATTTTGATTTGACTATTTTTTCATTAGCAATTAGACTTTCACTATTTTTTTAGTATTGTGACAATAACTATTGTGAGCGCAACTCCTCTGAGACCATTTGACAGAAAGCTCTCATACTTGGTACTAATGTTTTTCATGATGTGAAGTTAACCCTAGTAAATCATGACTCTGATCTGACCATTTTTACGGGAGGTGTGTGACATTAACTATATTATGACAATTTAACAGCTTTCATACATTGTTGGGGGATTTGCAATTATGTTTTCTTAACTGTATTATACTATCATTCTGATTTGACCATTTATGAGGGAGTTATGGGACTTCTCTCTTAGTTTGACTACCAATCAACAATTTTACATTGGGAAGCACAGTGTACTTCCTCATTTGTACAGCGCAAGGGATGTTTCTCAACGGATCTTGTTATTTATTGTTTAAAGCCATAGCAAAAATACTCATGTTATATTCATAAGGAATTCAATACAATTAATAATTTTCAGGTTCTGCAAAGTGGGTCCATATGGATTATATCGGGGACTTTCTGTGGGCTTTGGAGAAAGAACAATGTAGGAAAGTGACAAAACAAACTCAGAACAAATAGGAGTAAAAAAAGACAAAATATGATCTGCTGCTGCTTTAGAATATCCGATTTGTTTAAACCACATTTTTTCTTGTAAAGTTTTGCAATGAGAACTTCGATTGGTTTATATATCACTGCATTATGCTACAGGTCTTGCTTAGTGGTTTTCGAGTGCTAAAATATTTATATGGACTTGTTTTTTATATATTCCAGTTTACCTTTTGTGTCACAGACATTCAAGAAATGTCAGGAGTGATTCCAACATTCGACTGCATGAGAGTATTTAGATAGAAGCAATACTATAACTCTAGTCCTAGAAACGAAAACGCAACCCTGTGTCCTCTCCTCTCAAATCCATTACTAGAAGTGAAGCATTCGCTCCTGGTAGACTCACATGAATAAAACATTGCAGTTTTCAGTAATCAATTTGATGGTTTGAATCTACAAATGTTGGAAACTTTGCGAAAAAAAGAACACCATAAATTCAAAAAACCGTTATTTTTGCACAGTAATTAAAAAAATGTTTTGAAATTCAAGGTCAACAGTTGAGGAAACAATTTGTCTCTCTTGCGAGGAAAGTCATAGAATGCAAGGCATATGGATTCCAATCAAGTTCGTACAAAGCTTTATATTTCAGGGTAGAAGACATGGTAACTTCATACATTGTACACAGATTCGTTACGTCACGAAGTTTCCGTCTGTCAATTTATGGATCAGCGACCAGTTAAACTTTCGTTGTAAAAGTTCGTATCTCAGATACTGTAAGCAGTAAGTCAACCATATTAATTTTGTATATGAAATGATTATAAGGTGTACATGTCTGGCAAGTTTCGTTTTTGTGTTCATTAGCCCATTTTAATTTTTCAGACACTTTAAGCAATAGTAGAACTATAAGTTTGGTGTATGGAATGACTGTACGATGTACACGTCTATGTTCCAGAATTCGTCTGACCTTCACCTTATTTTCATGGTTCATAGGTCAATGTTAAATTTTTATGGTAAGGTCTGTTTCTCGGGTACTATAGGCATTAGGGCACCATAATTTGGCGTGCGAAATGATTGCTTGGTGACCAGGTCTGTCTAACTGATTCGGCTTAACTTGACCTTATTTAAATGGTTTATTGAGTTTGCGGTCTGTTTTCATTGCTATGTCCGTTCTACAACTACTATAAGCAAAAGGTAAACTATACGTTTTAATGTTGTAGTTTGTAAATGGCTTGGCCAACTACCTCAGTATATATTTCCTTCACAGAGTCAAAACAAGAAAGACTTTTGAAAGTTGAGTAAATTTTAAGAATTATTGGTGAAATAGAATATAAATAATATTTTCACAGTCATCAAACTGTTATTTAACTTCAAACAATAGTTTTGAAGTTTTTTTTTCAATACAACTAGATCACACCCTCGACATCGCGGATACGTGAGTGACACATCCTTGATTAAAGTACCTACACCTTATTTTCAGCCTGGGTATTCGTATTGTCTTTTGATAAAGTCATGCTGATTATAAGGTGCACAGTTTTCTATGCTTTCAAAATCTTTCTGATTGAATCCTGGTTTTCTTACTACAATCGGAAACTACTTGTAGATATTGCTTTGTCAATGCAATCCCTGTATAATGACGAAACGACCCGTGTATATAGCAAATCATTAAGACACCGTTTGGTGGTGCGCCTGACAGATGCGGAACGTACAGATTAGGTAACAGGTACTATTGGTATCGGTATCGGACTCGACCCGGAACTTGTTAATTATTGGTAATATTTTAATTATGTGGAAAACAAAAGGGCCTGGAATGGTATAATTTTTAATCAACACCATTGTCCTATACTAGTCATGTATAAAGTTTAATTCTTTGATTCTTCGTTTTTACGTCATGCCGGCTATATAGATATATTTACTTGTGTTGAACTCTACGGCCAGCGGTTCCTGTCATTTTTCCTGATACTTACAAAAGAAACACACTGGCATTAAGAAAAAAACTCTTTGAGATTTTAGAAAAACACATTGAAATTTTACATAAACACCTTGAAAATAAAAATATTCAAAAACAGATACTGAGAATTAAAAAATATACAATGAGAATGAAAAATAACACACTTAAATTGATTTTTACACACTAAGTATTAAACATTACAAATTGAAATTTATTATAATATTTTATTGCATATGTATTTGAGGTTAAGTATGATTACCACACGATACATAATCTTTACTTCTGGTACAATTGACAGTGGTTTTTATCCTTGCTTTGGAATTTTTAAAATAAAACATTATAAAGAGGGAAATGATACCAAGAGTTTAAAGTAAAGTGATGATCATATCAATGTGAATTTGTACTTACTGTAAAAAAAAAATATTTTCGTGGATACTTTATTTCGCGTTAAGCTCTTTCTAACTGACTTTGCAGTGATTTATTATCCCGATTTTCTAACTGTTTTGATGTATTTTTATAGGTAAAGATCCATATTAGTTTACATATTTCGACAATTAATGTTTGCCTTATTTTTCAACTCGCGAAAGTCGTGAAAAATAGTTGGTTTACAGTATTTATCTCGTATACATGGTATAGTAAAACGAACGCTATATCTAAACAGGATATCTTCTAACGTCATCACGAAATATGAGTTGCCAGTCATAGGCAGCTAGCTGAGAAATATAAAGGGTCTGATCCATGCTCTAAGCGCTGGAAAGGCAAACTATGCCTTCAAAAATATATCTCAAAATTGAAACAATAGGTTCAAAATACACAGAATACTATAATTTCATTTTTTTTACTTATAATCTATTATTTTCAAAAAAAACATGATGTACGTTTACATAATACAAACTGACATGCTTTATACAACGCAGACTTGTGTGTAATTAGATAGAATAAATGAGTGCTGAAATAAATAGGATTTGCTGTATACGTTGCATTCTACCAAAACATCTTAATGTCCTCATAAGCATAGTTAATTAAGGACTACGAGACACGAACGTAAGGTTTCAAATTTAATATGGTTTGAATATGTAATACAGTGCCAAGGACTTCCTAACACATCGGAATTAGCGCATCACTCTAGTAAACATCAAGTTAAATTTGTATCACTGGAACACATTATATTTTCAACTTGCATTATGCTTTCAACTTGCAGTGGCAGAATTAATTGTTGAAATAGCGTTTTGAGTTATAGAAAATTGCAATGTAGATATTGATTCGCATTGTTTCTAGATTTCTAGCAGATACTTCCATAACGTTATGAGTTTGCATACACCTGCAATTCATGCAGACATGTATTCATATAACGTTATAAATTGACATACATTTGCAATTCAGACATATATTCATATAACGTTA